ATACTATCTTGGGTCACGAACTCTACAGTGTAGTTTACAGTGTCAAACTACACGTTTTTTTTTGTCCATACACATGAAACAGTGGAACAGCACAACTTTCAATTTATCAGTAAAAATAAAACGTTTTCACTCAATGCCACAATAGATCGAAAAATATATATTTGTGTTCAATCAGAGGAACACGAGAAAATCTAAATTACAAATATCAAGACCCGCGCTTTATATGGGACGAGACAACTATCCCACGGAAACCGACAACTTGTCGATTATGATTCCGGTAACATGCACTGAAGACCGGAATGGCACACGGCACCGAGCATTATCAGAGGGGTCCCCATTCAATATTGACTCACCCTGGATGAAAACGTCAACTCAATTTGAAATTTCCGTAGAATTTGTAGTGTTTTGACATGATTGAATCTTATGTACTATACTATCTTCCCCGTGCACTTTTGGGGGGAATTTGGAGTGGTCGTTTTCTACTCAACGTCAACAAGGAATAAATTGTTGAATTTTCTAACAAACTTTCCCTCTTATCGTTTTCGTTTGACAGATTTCTGCTGTCGTAAATTGATCGGCATGTGTGATCATGTGACCCACAGTGCTGCAAAGTTAACTGTATTTTGACGGTGTTAAAGCTTGAATAGCTCGGACAATACCAACGATCCAGGTTAGCTACTCATGTGACTCGTATTTATTATCGACAAGCAAATCACCGCATTAGGGAGTGACATTTAATTATGAAATCAGTGTTATATATACCTATATACAAACATATGTTTCTCATTGACAATCACATTATATCACCTACATCATATATATTTACTGTTAACAATCATGATATAATTGAAGTTTCTGAAAATATCATTTATATTTGAATAAAATTATGTTTTGGTTTGTGTCAACATTTTTTTGGATTCTTTCATTTGTATCAATTAAAGCTTCACTTAAAAAAATATGAAGTGAGCAATGTCCATGAAATTCTACACTTTCAGCAGATTTGGACAATATTAATTTTGTGTTATGTTTCAAAAACTGACAACTACTTTCTTTAAAGGAAAATATATCACGTGATAATTGTGATGCAATTGAACTTGGTTTTATAAAAATCATTTGCGTATTTATTTATTTAGTTTCAAGTTGTGATAATTTTATGGAATGATGCTCAGTTTTAATGAGATCATTTTCATATTTGAAGTTGATTAACTTTCTGTTCAACCAGATGAGGGATAGGCCAATTAGTGTTCAAGTTGACTTTCATATTATTGAAGTATCGTTTTCAGTTTATGAGTTTCATTCCTTTTATCCGATACTTCCATCACACTCAGTCATGTTATCACAGATCTTTATTGCAATTATAATATCAAGAAATCTCTAAAAATTAATAATTCTTCAATGGTGCGCGGTAATTGTTAATTTACTCTCTGCCTTCTCCGTGCGTTCGTACATTGACTCCAAGCACTGTCCAGTTATTGGCTGATGATTATATATCACGTGGTACCGATTGATCAATGAAACATACCGTTGCAACACAAATATTGTAGTGAATCATATTTGACCTGCTAATCGTTTGAAGTTGAGACCAAGGTTAGGGACTAATGTTTGACATACTCACAGTATTTGTTGTAGGCAAGTTTCACAGCTTTATGAGACTTTTATTTAAAGATATAAGTATATTAAATACCGACTATATAATTACTGTATCCTCTTCTAGGCTTTTGAAAAATATCATTCAGTATTTATAAATTCTCAGAGATCTACCTTCTCTACAGGATCTACCTGTGCAATATTTAACAAGACGTTTACAGTCGATTCATAAACTACTAAATAATCCATTCTATTTCGTTGACAATACTGGCCTCGGTAACTGAGTTCGTAAACTACAAAACACATGTCACCACAGCCGATATAAATTCCATAGAATAATAGTGTGTTAAAGGTGCCAAGTATGAATTAATTAGGGGACAAAAACACAAACCTGCGTAGAAATAGGAAGAATGTATTTTGATTATAATGGACTTGATTCAAGTGGAAATCTGATTCAGCAGTGTGCTCTAGCAATCGCGAATTTAGTCATTTTTACAAGGTTCACCATTTTTGTTGTCACGTGGTTATTATGTAAACAATGAATGCCCAGTTTGTGCGAACTTGTACCTCTATACTTTTGAAATATATAAGCTAAATTACGGTTCCAAATGAGACAACAGACAGAGAATGCTTTATTCAAAAAAGTCATCAAACCCTTCTCGCTATCTTAACAGAATAGTAATATGTATTCATTTTTTAAGGTTCCTTTGTAGCAGAGTCTGTATACAAAAGCGTCCGTACGTGCTTCATTCTGTGTTCTCATGTTTCAGTTCCCTTTTCAGTAACGGGAACTCGGGCGATAAGCAATACCACGAATGTTTTGTCTGCGAAATACTTATTTCTTCACAGACACGTGATTACACGTCAATGCTGGTTTTGATTAAACCTGACTATATATTTCTTCAGCAGGTCGCTAAGTTTGTCTTCAACTTGTTCCTTCTTATATAAATAGTCAAATGACCTTTAAAAGTTCTGGACCGATTTGCGCAGATAACATGTGCTGGTAGACTCAAGCATTTAATGCATGCTTGCTGAACGGAATAATGTGGTATTCCTTGGAACAGCAATGCAACAAGTTGTCACCCAGTTGTTAAATTCATAGCTCATTTCACCATATTCTACTCGAAGTCAGAGTTTCTTACCTGAATTAAAGTGCGTGTGTTTCCGGTGAAGAGTCTGAATATTGCTACCCGGTAAACAGCGTCAACTGAGAACTATCTCATTCAAACCCACGAGTTTTATAATTTCCGGTGACGTCATGGCTATACCATTCTCCATGAGCCGTAAAGAGGTGATAGTAATGGTATTGAACTGTGCCGTACGTGCTACGTAATCATTACAGCACAGTTCGGATTCTGGAGCCGTAAAATCAGTGTAGCATATGACACACAGTAAGTGATGGTCATATAAAAATAATAGTTCTGGAAAGTGACTGGCAATCCCCGGTAGAAATAGACGTATCCATGTCCTTAATGACAGTCAATAGAAAGTGGCAAACGTGTATTGAATAAGAATACGTTGATCGGAAATACCCTTTGACTTCTACCCAACACCGGAAGGATTCATCAATTAAAAAACAGGTCAATGGTACCTTTCACACACCTTAGGAAATGTTTAGCCATTATTACGTTGTTAGAAGTTGAATTCTCCAAATATTGTGACAACTTTGTAACTATGTAACACAGATCAGATCTAGTTGTTGTCATTGCATAAATCAGACTGCCAACTACTAGTATGTCTCTGTACAGCCTTGCATTATCAGGCTCAGCTGTGTCATTAACAAAACTTGTTTACATTCATGTCTCAAGGAGTATATTTTGGTTTACAATTTGCAACATTTTCCCCAAATATTTTGACTACTCATTGTGATCATGCCGTCTCCATGGATAAAGCCAAGAAACCATGCTATCTTTCCTAGATCTTTCATCTTACACTTTTGTTTCAATCCATCCTTCACCTTTTCAGGACTTGGTTTTCCGGGAACAGCCCTTTACCACAAGCCACGCCTTATACGTATTTAGGACAGGCCAGTTTTTCCGGTAGAATGGACTGTTTCCCGCGTTTTCGTTTATTTTTGAGTGGCGTCATACCGGACTCTCATGACGTCACAAATCTTTTTTGTTATTTTTTGGGAAAATATGCGTGAATAAATTATTTTTTTAATAGAGAGACGTCATACCCGCATATGTTATGATTGAACTGTAGATAGCGCGGTGTTTAGCGCACTAACGCGAAGTTAAAGGAATTTGTAACGTGATGGTATACGAAATAAGTGGAAAAAATCTTCCTTTACAAAGTGTTACAAATTCTCTATAAACTCTAAGGCGTTGCAGAGTAAACATGCGACTAGCCAATCGCTGCAGTCGTTGGCAGGATCACGTGAATACCAGTGATGTGTCTCACGGTTAAAGTTGCCACTACTCAATAAGTAAGCAACCCATTTATCATAATCCCGTAAAATGTATTTATAATCTCTACCCTAAACATGCAAGTTGCCAATTCCTGCATGTGTTACCTATGTGATACATGGTGTTTGTTACCTTAATGTAGCGTTTTTTCTGCATAATTTACTAATAGAATATTGTTCTACTCATGGTTTCTGTGTGGCGTACCTTCTTTCATCTACATTGTTTCAGTCTTTACACTGCTCAGTTGAATGAGTTTTTCTTGTGCTTCCCATGGATATACTTGATTCAGTTTTTTGTCCGACGTTGTTTCTGATGTCATTCACCTCATGTCATTCGTGCTATTTTGTGTAAATCTGTCTGTCCATTAGCGTCGAAGTTTAAAGCAATTGAACACTGGTCGAGGAGAGGGGACTCAGTCGCGCTTGGCTGATATCACTTCAGATGGAATTCTGTGCGAATGTTCACTCAATGTGTTAAAATGGAACATGCCTATCAACTAGTCAGAGAAAAGAAAAACAAAACATTCAGATCCCCATTATTCAGCAATTGCCCATTGTCGCTGCAACTGGTCGGGAATCTCTGCCCGATGAAGATGTCGAGCCAGATCGAATTGATCGTCCGAATCGCTCGGTCCCGTGTCTTCGACCTATAGACCTCTACACGATAGAGGCTGTTTAGAGGCTTGGCCGAATAAACTTAGACCTTGGCTAGCGAAGATGGATCGAATTATTAAATACAAAGAATATGCAGCGAGAGGCAAAACTCAGAAAGTCAAACAGAAGCAACTGGCTGACTGGGGCGAAAACGGTAAATTAACCATTGATGGACAATCCGTGCCGGAACGCTCGCCGTTGATTTAGTTAGTCTTGCATAAAAGGAAGAATTTAAACTCCATCAGGTGAAGAAAATATGAAATTTCAAACATGGGGTTCTTTCTGTTTCTTGTAACAACGATTTCATATCATTAATGCTGATGTAACTCGTTTGTCACCTATAAACACTGACCGAGTTCAGCAAAACCTTCGGCGTTCTTCCCGAAATCAACTTCGCCATCTTTTGTCTAACACTAACAGCCGCCATTTTAACAACGTGGTTCCGGGGGTGGGGTTCTTTGAAGAAAATATAGTACGCAAGCTGAAGTAAAAAAAACGCGTAAAGGGGGTGTTCTTTAGTTATCTGACGCGTATACGTGTGAAAAAATGAATCTCATGAATTCATGTTACCTCAACTTGGAAACAGTATGAATTTAGTATGTATATAGGGTATCTATTTTAAGTTTCTGCACTTGAAAAGGGGTATAATTTCACTAAAATTAGTGTTTAGAGGTTTTTTGAAAAACTATACGTCATCATACGTCATCAGGTCTGACCTAGATTACCCCCCCCCCCAGGGAGCGTGGTACAGTTACTCAGTCGGGTCAAAAAATTTTGCTTCGTGTCAGATTATTTTTACACAGGCTGAACAATATAACCCACGATCACGTGACGGTTATGACACGTAGCCCACGGCCTCGTTTATCACGTTCTTCCTACTTGTGCTGAGCATTTTGGAATCAGGATTCGAAATCGCATTGCATGACAGTAGTCCGCATAATAAATAAATAAATTCGTAATTCAGTCGCTGTACGACAACTTCTAACACAGTTTATAACTAAATTATAACTATTTTATTTTATTTTTTGCATTTAAATAATGTTTTTATTTCGTTTCAATAATATAAACATACAACATATACTACAAATACTACTATTTTATTGATGTTCTATGTGGTGTTGTAATTACAAATTTTATATTTGTTTTTACGCTGGGAGATTATTTTTTCATAAGTTATTAACATTAAACATGTGTGTGTGATATGTTTTTTTTTTTTACTTAATACAGTTAACAATGATATGCCATATACTAATACATTTGTGAAAATCGTTCAGTGGAAAAATTAATCCCCCAGAATAAAACAGACTTTCTCAAAATTGGATTATGTTCGCCCACATATTCGAAACAGCAGTCATACAATCTCTATCGTGCGCACATCACAAAAATGAAACTGCGAAGTGTGAAGACGTCTTGTTTACGTTCAGCCTTTTATTGCAACAATCTCTGACCAATCTTGTAGATATTCAACAAGATATTCAAAAATTCTGCACATTCAAAAGTTAACATCCATATAATATACACCTCGCATAAATATTGAGTAAATTCGTTAGATTCAAATCATTTGAAGTTCGACAGCAATCCTCGCATCAAATTTAAGTGAGTGTCCAAACTTAAGTTAGACTTGCATATAGTCTCTTGTTTGGGTTTTGGTGGTTTTTTCTCAATCAAATAAAATATTATGCGAGTATATACATTTTTATTGAAGAATATGCAAACAGTGCTTTCTGGCACTGTTACCATGGTTACTAATTACTTATTTTTTTTAATTACTAGTTACTAACCGAGTCTCCATTATTGACTATGTAAAAAGTTTATTCTGTCACTTTGAATAATAAATAAATAATAAATATTTCAAAAATTGTTCATAGCTATGAATTGAACACCATAATACTAAATGTAAAAAAACTAGCTTTGAGAAATATATAATGTATATCATTACAAATACAAAGGGTGAAATATACATGTATAAATATATAACTGTGGGTAGAATTTGACATCACTTCTTGGTCCTACAATGAGACAGTTTAAATATGAATTTCGTACATCACATACACCCTAGAATAAAAATATGCTCGTCTTTCAATTGTAATTATATCACAATATTGAAAAACCCCGATGTCCCATGCTGACTAAAGTTTGCAGATAATAAATACTCATTTCTTGAAGATAGAGACCACTGTATTTTCTTTACAGTATACACATTCGGGGAAATTACTTTTACAATTTGTCCACTGTGCTAAGATATTAGTAAAAATATAACTTTTTAAGGTGTTTGTGAACATTATAAAGATTCCTGAGAATTGAAAAATAACCTATAAAGACATAATATTTGACTCTATCACTGAAATGTTAAAATACATTACAATTTTTTTTAGACTTAAAGACAATACTACAAAGCATACTGACTCACGAAATATCCAATTTTAAGTGAACCAAACGGGCTTAGAAACGTGGCGTGTTACAGCGCGCTGTATGTTAACGGTATTGCAATGGCTCATTTTTCCAAGCAGTAAGTGATACGTCGGTAAAGGGCCGCGAACACAGATGTTAACAAACTAAATGCATCAAACTGATTTATACAACACATAGAATAAATGTGTAAGCTGACTGGTTTTATAGTTGTCATGTTTTCCTGATTTCAATTATCAATCGATTGGTAAATGGTCACATAAATAAGATAACACCAAGTCGCAAGTACATGTATTGCATTTGAATCGTACACCGAGTCATTTGGATTTAAAAATGGCCAAATGGCGATCACTCTGCGTGGGATGGTATTTATTGAACACTAAATGCCCCAATAAACACGTTTACGAACAAAATTAACATAACTAAAACAGATACAGCGTCAGTCATTTTTTCTGCCTTTGGCTGGTCTTCTTCTTTGCTGATGTCTAAGCGATACTTAATCACCAAAAGAAGGCTGGTGACCAGCTGCAGTATAATTGAGATAACCAATCCTATATTAATAATGACGAAGAACTCAGGCGTTGATCCCTTATTGTGATTGTGCCATATACTAGCCAAGTAAGTGCCATTGGCTGTGAGCAGAGCCACATCTATGAAGCCCTGTGCTACTGTCTTCTTTCCAGCATACGAATTGGCATCGAATGGTCTTTTTTTTGTCGTGTTTGATGAACCAGTTAGCTGGGTGGTGGTTGCAATCTGTCACAAAATATAAAAATGAATTATTTTGTCACTATGTGATCTAAACTATATCTAATACTACTATTTGGCTTGTCGCAATTGTTCTATCAAGGAAAAATCCTTTTCTCTGGGGTTCTTCACACGTGTCAGGGGGGAATCTCGTCTTGTCTCTATATCTCGCCCCCTTGAGGTGCGGGATCGGGGAAGTCACTTAAGCAATACAGTCAAATAAGACACACATAACGAAATACGTTTCAACTTTCGTCTTAGTCGATCAGTCGAGCACTCTATAAGACACAGCGCCCTGGGGAAAAATCCCCAAGACTATCGCAAGGCTGACCCAAGACTCTTTTAGACTGCGTCAAGGCTCGCCCCAAGTCTCTCCAGGACTGGACTCTCAACTGCCTCTATCGTGCTGTACTCGCCAAGACCAACTCAAAACTCT